TTGGAAAAAGTACTTTTGCTTGAGTCAAGTGAATGTTTGGGGGGAGTTTGTTTATTTGTTTTTAAATTGCCTTTCCTGGGTCTGGTGCAGTATTTATTAATGATGTGTTTGCCATCTCTGATACCCAAAAACATGAACATCAAGTCTTCAGTAGCATGCAAAAAAATGATTTAGAAAACAAATCACAAGAACATCTCGTATTCATCTCATTGGGGTTGCAAAATTAAGGGGAGATGATGAAAAAAACATAGATATAAAGGAGAGGTGAGGATAACCACGGGAAGAAATAGAATTTAGATTTCCTATCTCCTTCACCAATGGATTCCTGCTAATACATCCTACATCCTGGTAACCTTATTTGCTTTACCAGACGTGATGCTAAAATTAGCTAGTCATACATTTCTCAGGAAGTAGTAATTAATTGGACAATATTTGTACAGGGCTTTGAAAATGTAGTTCCTAATTTTGCAAACCCTTTGTCCATAATGCAGATTAATTTAATCACATAATTACTGCATTTCTGGACTTTGCTATACACAGTTCCCCAGCTCATGTGTGATGTATAATAATTGCCTGTGTAAACTGGCAAGAGCCACATTTCTCAAACACCGTGCGTGTGCATTTGAAAATTGGGATCACAGGTAGCACTCCATTACTAGGGCTTCATTTTAAAACACTTTGTTCTTTTCTACTGTGTCTCTGAATATGATTTACTCTTGTTTATACCCTGTCTCAGCAAGACTCTGCTCAGCCCAGCCAGGGATTTGAGCCTGTGCTTTCCGTGCCAGCTCTGTCTCGATGGGGAGAGCCACTTGCAGTGGCTGTAATTTTGTCTGGGGCACCTGGTCCTTTGTGTGTGCCAATGGAATGGGCTGGTTCAGTGATAACCATCAGTGTTAAGCCTTTTCACATGAACAGTCTGTGCTATTTGGACTGAAAGGGTTTTGGGTTTTTTTTTTGTTTTTTTTTTTTTTTTTCTTTTTCTTTTTAGAAAGTTGTTTGTACACAGAGAATGCTAGGAGATCTGCCTTCTGCTTTAGCTCAATTTGTCATAATTTCTACCTAGACCAAGAGGATTTAGCCCTAATTTAATATATTCTTTTGAACGTTTTTGCTCCCCAGACCCTACATTAGATTGCTCCAGCATCTGACTCCTTTATTGGTAAAGGACCTACTAATTTCCAACCTAAATTTATTCATGGCCAGTTTATACCCATTTGTTCTTGTGTCAACATTGTCCTTTAGTTTAAATTGCTTCTTTGCCTTCCTAGTGTTTATCCTCCTGATGTTATTTATAGACAGCAATCATATCTGCTATCAGCCTTCATTTTGCTAGACTAAACAAGCCAGGCTCTTCCAGGCTCTTCTCCTGTGATGGGCTCTTCAGTGCCAGCACCTGGTTGGATCCAGGGGGCTCAGCCAAGGGCCTGGCTTGTGCCCAGCATCCCCATGAGCCCTGGCTGCTTGGCACAGGGGTCAGGGTTGCCAGCTGTGCCCTGCTCAGAGCTGCACACAGGGTGTTTGCCCCCTTGCTCAGCAGCAGGGAGCTGGTGGGACATGGGCACAGCCATATCTCCCTCCAGGAAGCTTCCAGGAAAGTTGTGTTTCATGGGTGCCTTGCTGCGTTTTCCTGTATTTTGTGCTATTAGATCACATTTTTCTATTATGCAGTTGCCCTTTTTCCAAGCTGCCTTTCTTCCTGTACAAAGCACCTTTTTAACCAAGCCCTCGACTAATTTCCCATTAGCCAGCTTAACAAATTCCTTCAACTAATTCCCATCTTCTGGAATTTAGCTGATGTATTTCTTTGGGGCACTGTGTCAGATGACTGACAGAAAAGCAGATAGATTAGATCTGCCACAGTTCCTTTAATTATTCCCTCCTTCATAATTTTTTTCCTTAAAAAGTCCTTCTTAGTTTTTAGGTCAGACTAAAAGCTCTGCACTTAACAAGATGAGTTTTTTTTTCCTTGGCTGGAATAGAAGCAGCACATTTGCTTTGCTGTAACATGAAGATCTGTTAGATTTATTAGAAACACTTGCCACAGGACCTCCCACAGGCTTCAGTGGGGCTGGGTTTTTAGTCCAGACCCCCTTGGGCCACAGGCTCATTTCCTGAGTTCCCCAGCATCACCATCAGAGCAAACATACAGTAAATGTTAGGACCATTTTGCTTTACCTCTATGCTGTAGTTTCTGCCCTGTGCTATTTAAAATGTCATTTTTGCAAAGAAAGAGAATAGAAGAATTATTCTGTATGATCAAAATGCCATCAAGAAAATGTCTCTCATGCTTGGGGGCATGAGGCTGCCTTTTTTTTTTTTAATAGTAACAATAATAATACTATTAGGACAACAAACTGAGATGCCCCTGGAGATGATGTGACAAATTGGAAGGACATGCTGAAATTGAAATTGATTGAATAGTTCAATAAAATCAGCTTAATGCACAAAAGCAAAAAGATTAGCTAGAGAAAAACAAAAAATCAGTAATTTGTTATCTGCTGGGGCCAATCTCACTGGAGATTGAATTAGTTATAAACTAAAACTGGGCACTTGAAAGGAGCCCAGTGCTGGAGCCCTTGGGATGGAGCTGGATGTGGATGGCAACCTGAAGGTTTGGCAGATCAGATCTCAGACTGCTTCCATTTGGTGGACTTGGCAATGTTGGCTTTATGGCTGGACTTGATCTTAAAGGTCTTTTCTAACCCAGATATTTCTCTGATTTCCTATGTCTGCGTTCTGTACAACTTCCCACACCATTCCCCATGTCAAAATCCACTTTTGCTCTAAACACAATAGTTCTGTGTTCAGTTGATGGAAATCAGGGCAGCTTTGGGGCTGTCTCTGGGGTTCCCCCAGCTGCTCACTTCTGATGTGTACCCAGATCCACCACCTCTCCAGCGTGTGCATTCCCATCATGTCCTGCCTCATCACTCCATCCCTTTGGGATCTGCTCTAATTCCCACATTTTCTCACCAGGCCTGGGCTGCCTGCCCTTGCTGCACAAGTGCTGTGTTCCTTTGCCATCCCTCCCTTCTTGCCATCCTTCTACACCAGCTCCTTGTGGCTGCTACATTTGCACACTCTAATAAATTCTGGCCATTTTCCTTCTCTTTTTTTGTGTTGTATGATCTGATCAACATCTTTCTTTTAAACTTCTCTAATTTAGTGCTCTGAATTTGTGTGGGTTTTTTTTTATTAACATTACAGAGCTCAGTGAATTGAACAGTGCTTTGTTAAAGAGAGCAACTCTGTTGTAAACCTGGGGTCTGTGAGTACACACACACAGATGTGTTTTTCTCATTTATGTGAAATACGATTGCTGCTACTTTTTTAAGTATCCTCCCCACTTCTATGATTTAAACCTTCTGTTATTTAAACCAGAGTATTTGGCCTGCTAGGAAATACTTCCATCAGCTTCCCAGGTAGTCTACAACAGAGAATAAGGAAGGAAAAGCTAGATATGAAATAGAAATTACATTCACTAATAAGGACATTTCAGCCTTGTGCAGTGCTTTACAAATGGAGTAATGAACAGAACCTTCTTGCATGAGCCAAAACAAGGGCTAACAATAGTTTCTCCCTCATGTTTTATTATACAAGATAGGAAGAGATAATGAAAGTGCATTTCCATAATATATTCCAGTTGCAAGGTGCTGATGGATCCCTAAGTGTGATGTCTTGTCAATTTAGCAGGTCAATTAAAAGCCCTGGAATCAAGATAAAGCTAAAATGCAGATCTCTTATTCTGGCAACTCAGAAGAATTAAAGAACTGAGCCAGTTACAGCACTTCAAGGATGTTTATATGGGAATAAAGGGACCTAATTGACCTAATTCTTGCCCTTTGAAACTTCAGAGGACATTTGGCATTTTACACACACTTGTAGCACTGGCACCTTGAAGGAGCAGCCCTGGGTACCTGAGCTGTGTTCTGGGGGCAGTTGGTCTTTCCTTGCACCAAAGTCCCTCCACCTGACTTCACAAAAAAGCTTTTCCTGCATAAAATTCTGCCTCCACTTGGTGTACACCCCTCTGGGGCTCTCTGATGTGCCTCCTGCAGCCTTAAGGAGCAGGGTTGTGTTGAGCTTTTGCCTGGATCCTCCCCTGGTTCTCCTGCCTCCCCTTGCCCACTTTCCAGGAGAGGAGCTTTGACAGTAATCAACAGTAAATTCTGCAAGTCTAAATGAAAATGTATTGTTGAGGCCAGTTGTAAAGATCAGGAGAGTTCTCTTGATGCAGGCAGACACTCCTAAGTAAAGAGATCCCGGGAAGATGTCTCCACATGCAACATCAGATGGCCTCTCCTCTTTTATTCAGGTTTGTTTTCCAGTTGCATTGACTTACAGCATCCTTCAGAACTTCACTGTGTGATTTTCATGGCTGGCTCTGTGAGGTTTTTTCCTTTGAGAGCTGTGTGGTAGGGGGTGCTCAGGAATTTAAATTAGTTCTGCTGAACTGCTGTTTATTGCACTGGATTATTTTTTTCTTCCATACTGGACTTAAATTCTCCTTATTTACCAAGATTGTGGTAAGGATTGAAACACAAAGAGCATTTTAATGTTTTTTGGGCATCAGACTGTGTGAGCAGAACGAGCTGGAGGGCTGCCAGGCAATGTTGATGTCAATTTTGGGGTATAATGTTCTTAGCAATGTTTTCAGTGAAAACACATGAACAAAACTTTTACTGGTTTTCAGAAGACAGAAGCTAATGTTGCAGAAAATACTTAAAAGTTAATAAAAATGTCAGCCTCAGCCAGGGAATTTTGCCCATAAGACTTTTATTTTCCCATGAGACAGGTGATGTCCACGAATCTATACAAAAATCACTACAAAAACAATGCAGAAAAATTAATTGAACTTTTTTAACTAACATTTTTAATCCAATTAACTTCTTAGTCTGCTTAAAGATCACACTTTTATATGGAAAATAAACCAAGGTGTTTTACAGGGTGTGGTTTTGTCTCTCATCTTTCCCTTCTCCCTTTTTTTTTCTCCACAGAAAGTTCAGCAGTACATAGTCATTGTTCAAGCAACAGATATGGAAGGAAATCTGAACTATGGTCTCTCAAACACGGCCACAGCCATCATTACAGTGACAGATGTGAATGACAACCCCCCTGAATTCACCACCAGCACTGTGAGTACCCACACACAGCAGGGGGATGCACGCACACTCTGCTTTTACCTCAGGGTATTGTTGGTGTCTGCTGTCTCTCTGAGCTGCTTGGGCAGATGGGAGGGACTCTGATGGATAACTGTGGAATGAAGACTTTCAGGGGAGAAAAGGGAAAAAGGAAAAGATTGATTCATGAACCAGCAGAACTGTTTGGTGACTGATTTGGCCAAGGCACTGAAGGAGCAGAAATAACGTGGCAAACAGCCCATGTCTGATTGCACCAAAGAGGATGCAGTTGTTTCATAGCAATTGGCTGTAGACATATCAGAGTTATTAATACTTCTGAGTGAAATCCTGAGCACTGAGAGATATTTGGGGTTTATGGCTTGGATATGATTTCAAGAGGGCTGTAAGTACTGTAAATGGTAGCAGGTAGCTGGTAAAATTTGTATTTCACTGATAGCTCTAACAGATGTATTTGTGTGTGCTGGCAGTAAATGTGTAGACATTCTTCAGTACATCTGGTTTTAATCAGTTAAAGATTTTTCTTATGTTTTATTAGCACGGTCTTCTGTTCTGTTTTCATGTGTTCCAAGGTATTCCTGGAGGGCAAGGGGAAAAAAACAGAGATTGCAAATGACAAATTTTTAGAGCTGGTTAAAGTAAAAATGAAGATTTGGAAGGTGAAATGATGTGGTCTGGTTCATTCCAGCCTTCATAATCCATAGATGTAGAACATCTGAAATGTGCATGGTAAATTTAGAAATCACAGGGCAGTGCAGAGGTCTGTATGCCAATAAATGAGAAATGCTTGTGCATTTCCCCCTGTCTGTATTCATATGAGGGTCAACAAGGAGCAGTAAGTGATGTATCTTAAATAGGCATCAAATCTGTTCAAATACAGGTGGTCTAACTTCTTAGTGCTCAAGTCACTGAACATCCTTGGAGGATTTTTTTTATTATTTATATAATTCTGAATTTTCATTCCATCCTAAAGGGTCTCTAAATATTTATTAGCGTAGGACCGAAGTTTCCCCCTAGTTATACTCCTACAAACTGCAGGTATGTCACAGAACTCAAGGAAGTCATGCAGAGCCCAGTTTATGCCCCTGTGGACCCAAACTGGATTCATGGCATTTCTGGAGTCTGGGTCCTTCCTTCCCAACTCCATGGGGAGCTGAGTTTGGGGCTGTGACAGCATTTTCTCACACAGTGGCTTGGACATAGGTTCTAAGAAGAAAAAAGGCACTAAATTCCTCCTGAGTCTCAGCAAAATGGGCACCCAACATGTTTTTAGGTCTGGGCATCAATGCCCAGGCTGTGCTGCTGCTCCAGTGGCTGTATCAGCACATGTGTGCTGTGTGTCCATCATGGATACTCCAATTCTTCTGCTGTAATGTTGTGGTTAAAGATCTTCTCTAGTACGGTGCAATTATGAAAAGCCATAAAAATACAGCACAGGTCTTGGGCTGTGTGGTCCTTTCCCCTGCCAGGACAGAATAATTCTCTCTGGGAAGGAGGTTTGTGTCTGTGGGGCTGCAGGACCTTGCACCACAGCACTGCCCCAGCTCCCTGGTGTGTGTGGGGACTTTATTCTGCCAGGTAAATGCTTCTCTGCCCTCCTTTTGAGTGAAAAAGGAATGACATCTAGTGGCCATGTCACTTCAGCACACGTTGTTCACATGACCCAGGCCCTGGGGTCAGTGTCTCCAGTGCAGCTTGGGAGGGGAGGTTTTGGGGAGCAGGCTGAGCTGGGTCAGGGTTCCTTGCACGAGCACTTGGTGCCTTCTGCAGGGCAGCATCCCCTCCAGATGTGGTGTATTTTAATGGCACTTCTCAAAGCTGATGGAAGGTGGGATAATGGAAATTTTCTTTCAGGTGAATTCTGAGTATTTAATGTCTTGGTGTGTATTAAACCTGGAAGGAATAAAAGCCATCAAGAGAATTACCCACAGAATTGTGTTAAATGGATTAGAAAATGCTACTCTTCCTCTAAGCAGAGTTGATGTGTACCATTATTTCTCTAATTTCAATCACTGAGGAAAGAGTTTTGCAAGGGCCAAAGGGCTTTACACAGTGGCACATGGGACTTCTCTATAAAGAGTTGAAAACCAAGGGTGTTTTACAATAATACTTTGTGATTCTATGGAAACAAATATCTTTGATATACTCCTGGGTATAGCCAGGCTGAATTTCATGTGAGTATGAAAGTATAATATGTTTTTTTCTCTTACTGGCAGCAGGAACAGCATCAGGCTGATGAGTTTCTTTAAGCCTGAGCTGAATCTCCTCGCTGTCCTCAAATAGTCTGATCTGCATTTTAACACCTCTAAAAAAAATAGCAAAAATCACTTTCCAGGAAATCTATAGCTCCTCAGAGAGTGAGAAAGCCCATGGTCTCTTTTAAGTCCGCGGACTGTTTGGAGAGATATTGTATATTTTTATTTTAAATAGTTGTATTGAGATGCTGCTGTAAAAACAAAAATAGACTGAATAACTGAAACTGTGGCTTGCTCTTGGCAAGCTGCCAGATGAGAGGAACTCAGGAGCTGTATTCATCCCAGACAGATACAGAGGCCCACCCTATAGAGCTCTTAAATTACCTGTCATTCAGCCAGGGTGGTTTCAGACTTAATCGTTTCTGGATGGGAATGTAGCTCAGGAGGACACTGCACCACGCTGGTGTCACAGCTCATGTATTCAGCAGCAGGAATTAATGTTGCTGTGTAAAATTTAACAGCAGGATGGGAGAGAGGAAAGCATCCACTGTGATGGTCAAGAGAGTCAGGGCACGTCTGCAGCCAGGCACAGGGCAGGGGGAAGGGGCTGAGTGCAGGCACCACGTGCAGGTTCAGACACAGGCACAGCCAGCAGAGGTGTGGTGGTCAATGGACATCCAAAGTACCAGATGGGCTGGCATCAAAGTGTACTGCTGGATGAGAGGGGGTAAAAGAGCAATAAAATTACAAAGATCCTTAAAGGTACAAAATGAAGGTACCTCAGCAAAACTCCAAAATTCCTGGGTGCTTCCATGAAAACTGATGTCAGTGGGTTTCACATGCTTTGGTCCAGCACCTGAAAGGCAGGGGAAGAAGGAGCCCCATCTTCTCAAACAAAGGGTTTTGAAATTGTATGGGAGGAAGGAAATCAGAGTCTCTGGATGAAACAACTTGGAGCTCAAGTCTGCTGTTAACTCTGAGGCCAGTCTCCATCAGCATGGCCAGTCCTGACAGTCATGAGGATTACCTGCAGCCAGCTGCAAGGCACTGGGCACAGCGAGGACCAGGTGCCTCCTCTGGTCCTGTCCAGCTCTGTTTTGTGATGGTGAATGGTTTTTTGATCTGCAGTCCTACCTGTGCCTGTGCTGAGAAGCATCAGCCAGAGAACAGCCAGCAGTGGGGAAGTGTCTCCTGAGAGACACCACAAGAGTGGAGCATCCCCTGAAACACTATAAACAGCACAGGCAGCTGTTTGGGGCATTTTTAATGGTTTAAGGCAGGATTGTGACCCAGGGAATGCCCTTCTGGCTATCTAAGGGACTTCAGCCTGTCCACAGTGTTGTGTTCTTTGTGTGACATTGCTGCTTAATTGGAATTAATGAAGGGAGGCAACTCTTCCCTCTGCCAAAGAGGAGAGGTAGCACTGACTCCTCAAAGTGCCCAACCAGCCCATGCCCACAGGCTCTGGGTCAGGTGCCATAGAGTAAGGTATTTTAGTCCCCTATGCCCAAGTTTTCTGTGACTCATTCATTTCTGTGGAAGTTTTGATGGATTTTGCACCTGCCAAGTCACCAGCTGTTGTAAAATACTGACATTTTAACTGGACTGTGTTACAAAGGCTTTGTAGGAATTTTTACTGGCTCTCTTACTGTTGTAAGATGAAGGTATCACTGTGCCCTCCATTATCCAGAGTCCTTGTTACTTATAACAGGGTTATGTCCTCTGACATGTCTTAATTATGGGGAAATTCCTCAGTCTCCCTTCAAATATTTATCTCCTGTGTGCAAGTGAGTTGTGGGTTTTCCATACTAATATGGATCCATAGCTCTGGTCAGGTGCTCACCTCAGATACAGGGGATACAGTGAAATCAGAGTTGGTATTTCAGAGATTAAAAGTCAGCAGAGATGGAACAATGCTGGATAGTCTCAGGTGAGGTTTATGTAAGATTTGAAGCATCTTTCTTGCTCACAGGAGGAACACCTTTAATTCCAGTGAAATCTTTAACTCCTCTCAGGCAGGATGCCCTTTCCAGTCTGACCCATGATACTGTTAATAGCCATTCAAGGATTTCCACTTTATCTAAGAAAATGCATAATCAGAGGGGAGGAGAAGTGAAAGAAATCCATGCCCACACTTGACTCATTCAAAGTCTATTTTTATCATATTCAATCAGGAACAATCAGGCACAGAGAGGAGACGCAGATGAATTTGCATGATCAGACTTCTGTGTCTGAAATGTTAATTAAAAGTTATTTTAAATTTGCCTACTGTGCAGAACTTGTTTTTATAGTAGCCCATGTAAGGAAAATATTATTTCACAGGGCTAAAGTGTTCATGATTACTTGAGTTTGTGAATTCTTGGGAAAACCTGCCTGGCAATCAACCTCTCAAATAAAAAAAAAAAAAAAATTGGAGGGAAAGAAAGGGAAAAAAGAAACTGGACTATTCAAGTTCTTTAATCTCCTGAGCCTTAGGAGGTCTTATTTTAAGCTACTTTAAAATTTGCCCTTTGTCACTGCTTTGAGAATCTCCTCTTCCAAAGCTGAATCCAGTGGAGCCTGTTTTAAAGAGGCAGCTCTGGGACAGCATCCCCAGCTGGCTAATCCTGACACTGAGTTAGGAGCAGCTCCAAAGGTTTAGGACTGGACTATTGGAGATGGGTGGGTGCTTCCCAGCTCACAGGGCATTGCTGGCCTGGGAGAGGCTGCCTGGCCAAGGGCTGGCTGAACTCAAAGCAGAATTGCTGGTGAGGAGTAACCTGGATTCAGAGGGGCTGTGCTGGGGCAGGAGGGACCTGTTTC